AAAAAAAAAAAAAAAAAAAAAAAAAAAAAAAAAAAAAAAAAAAAAAAAAAAAAAAAAAAAAAAAAGATATTGTGCTTAATTTATATAATTATCAGAGAGAACGTGTGTTTTAACTTTGTTTTTGATGTAAAGAAACAAAGTTTCATAAAATGTAAGTCTTTAGCTTCGAAGTTCTTTGCGATGGATACCATGTCGGGAGCATAATATATGGCAAGACAAGCACCAACTGCTTTAATATTACAAAACTTCGTGTTGTACACCTATACATTGTTAATCATCGAAGAATTGCTTTCAATTTCCAAAGCCAAGTACAAAGATCACTTTGTCGGGAATTTCGATACCTCGGCTCGTTTGGACTCGCATTTTACTTACCTCGTAAAGAAGGAGTATTATTAATAAGTATATCATGCTCACTTTGTTCCATGGTTTTTAAACGTGACTGCACCACATTGTCGAATGAAATTGTTTCAATAGGTGGACTGTGCAAAGTGACAAGGCGTCATTGGACAACCCGTGGAAAGCAAACTCTGTTTCTCAACGTCTCCCACAGACGCCACTAATATCGAACGACGAATACGAATACGGAGCTAATGATCGTTTTGAGTAAAATGATCGGCATTTCCAAGACTATTCGTTTCATCGAGGAGTTGCACGAATTTTTTTGCTCAACGCTCGAATGACATGTGGCATTGTATACCTCACGAGGTAATAAACCAAAGGACTGCGTCGTAAAAAAAAAAAACAACCACAAACCCCTTACATCAACAAATATGGGTTGTAGGCCATAGATTGGACGAACATCCGTTTGATCGTCCTTCAGCTGATTCACGCCGTGCTTTTGACCAATGGTAATCTCACAAGAAGCTGCTCGACTAAGACATAAAAGCGTCCAAGGAGCCATCACTTCACGGTACACGCGCATTGCAGCTATGCAAGTGTGCCATTGGTATATATAGGTACCTATAACTGTAGGACCATTACACGTCGTACTTACATGCACACGAATGGATATATATATATATGAGCGCGAGCCGACGGACCGAACCGAAATGATGAACGCGAGATGTGTTGTGTATGGGGGGCTTTAATTACATTAAACTCCAAAACAGCGAGTACGGCGAATGCGTCGAACAATCAATTTCCTCCCCGCGTTGATCATCGATCCGCTAATAAATTACTCGCGAAGCTTTCATCTCTCGCCACACCGCAGCGGTTCCATCCACTTTCCGGAAGATCATAATGATTAATTGGCCATTCTCGATGGGACGGGCAATCACGCGATCCCTCCACATTAATTGTACATAACGTAGCCTCCAACTGTAACATTATTACGGACCTCCCCCCCTAAGCAATTTCAATATTGTCTGCACAACCGGGGGATTATGGACTTTCCACTCGTCGCGTGAGTGTTGCGTCATGATATACATCTCCCCGATGTGGCCTTGGCCATGTGTATATCATGTACCATTATTGGGTTTTTCGAGATGAGACGATCTGTTGGTTTAAGCGGTGATTATCGTATAGATGCACAGGAGAGCGAGGGTCGAGTGTTTTCTCATGCCTCTGCGCGTAATTGTGCGGATGAGGAATGTTTTCTTTCGAAAACTGGGGGGGGGGAGTGTCGAGAGAATTTCATTCGAACGGTGTCATATGTAACATGGAGTAGTGTAATGCCATTCTCATCCCCTTGACACGAAGTCGTATTTTTACAAGGTGAGCCAAATGACTACTGACATCGTGTTGTGCAACCTGTTCATCGATTTGATCTACGATAACTTGCGTGCATACAGGTGCATCAGACAGTATATCCGTTTGGTTTGGCTTGGTCGAGGCTCAAAGTTGAAGCAACTTTACACAACAACCCCGCGTTCAACCTAGCAAGTACCTGTTTCAATCATAGTATCGGTTGTTAAAAAAAAACACATCACACGTTGTCGCCACAAAACTGTCGACAGAATATATGGGAGCAAGTGGCGAACGAATCGTTGCAGCGAGAAGTTTTGCTGAAAAGTACTGTTGTACAAAAGTAACGAGAGACAGCGCGCTCGGGCATATTTCCATTGGAATTTTCCGACGAGGGTATACGGGCCAAAGAAATTTTCCCAAAAGGCGGGGGGAGGGGAGGGGGTTGGATGGGGAGAGAGAAAAAGCGGACTGGGAGCGTGTACCAACGTGTAGGTATACATCCTCGAAGAGATCACTCCAGCGCATCTCCGCTGCGAGCGCGCGACGGACAATGGGTGACAATAACGCCTCGTTGTACCTGATATGAGTACACGCGCGTAACGGAATCTCTTGCCGTTTGAAACCGACGATCCGTAAGAGCTTCGCCGTCGCAACAATGCCGGAGCAAGGGCGAAGGGAGGAAGATGCTTTCCTCTTGTTTTTCCCCCTTCGTTGTACATTCATACGCACACACTACTGGAGTTGCGTGCTTTTGCACGTGTCATTTGGGGACCAGGATTATTTTCACGAGGTATCATTGGGAGGAGGTGTTTTTCCCAAAGCTTTTTCTCCGATGCTGTCCCCAAAAGCGATAACCCCCATTGTTCCAGCCTCGTCCGAGTGAATGAAATCCACGCCAACGTCTTCGTACCGCGTCAACGAGCGCGAGGAGGTACGCAACGACCCGCCCGAACAAAAGAGACGTCCGTTTATCGAGAGTCGGGCTCGGGCGCAATAAATTGAGCCGCGGTATAGCCAAAGAGCCGCTATTATTCGTGGGCTCATTATGCAGCTGCTGATCTCTTAGCGTCCCTTTTTTTTTTTTTTTTTTTTTTTTTCATTGTCATAAACGTCGATCCCTGGATTCATTCTCTTTGGCCACGGGTTTTTTTTTTTTTTTCATCGTCGTTGGCTCTTTGGTACTGAGAGCTCCTCAGCAAAACACCTCGACAATCTTTCAAATAACACAAAATGGATAAATACGCATAATATACGTATATGGACTCTTTGATGTTATTCAGTGCTCTCATCGTGAGCACAAAAGGCTCGTGTGGTCCTTAAGGGGTTGTTCTTTCAAAAAAAAAAAAAAAAATACAAATTCATGTGTCCAATTAGATGATACATCGAGGTAAATTTAAATTTGTGGCAAGGGTCGTTTTTACATGTTGTAAGCTCGTCGTTTGTGTAGTATTAAATATTACGATCTGAACATTTATAAAAGTATCCGAAGATAAATAATATCAAGGAGAATGAACGCATTGACAAATTTTAGTGATTAAGGATTCGTAAAAGACTTTTAAGCAAAGTGTTAATCAATCCAAAGTATAAATCTATGGAGTATCATTAGATACTTTTCGAATATATATATATATATATATATGTGTGTGTGTGTATATATATATATATGTACTACTTGTCCCGACCTTGGAGCATATACATATGGAGGAAGCTCGTAATGGGATAACGTGTAGGCAACTGAAGAGAGAGAAAGCAGTAGGTTTGGGGTACTCCACTTTTTAACCCCTTTCTCCTTGTTCGTTTGCGATTGGCTATCCGTTGACTCTATGTATAGGTATAGTAGTATTTCACTTTGAGTAAGTAGCGTCTGCTGACAATATTTACATCAGTCGAGTCAAAAGTTTAATTATTGTAAGTATCACAGTGAATAGCTGACACGCAAACAATTTATTGAATGAATCAAGAATTGAAGAGGAAATGTTGTTCACGTGATTCGTGGGAAGTTAACGGCAGTAAACAAGTTATAGATAGTTTGGGAGTTATTGACAATGGAAAATATTCGAATTCCACTAAACGATGCATTTCTTGGATTTCTGCATGAAAAGCATGAAAAATTTTTTTGTATTCTCTGAATTCTTTTCCGTGAATGCAAGTTGTGTCTGATGTGGAATTCTACGACACAAAGATACAAAGAATATAACAGAACTTTTAAAGGAAAAATGAAGAGATCATTGTCAGCGATAATGCTAGATTCTTATATATGAATCAAGGAATTCACAGCTTTGGCTATTATTTCTCAAAGAATTTTGAGATACACGCCTTCATTGGGAAGTACTCGTGAGAACTTTTTCTTTTTGACGTAAAAAATTTCCTCTGAAATTTTTTAGGAAAATTTAAAGTCATTGTCGTAACTTACAATATTATTTAAAATAGTGCACAACAAAAATTTTATCTTATGCATGAAAGCAGGAAATACGCAATTATCGATTTTTCTTAAAAATGTCCAATTTTGCTTTGTGCATCGTCTTTATTTCATGAACTACAAATATTGTAAGCAAAATGAAATTTTGCGTACGTGATTGCCAGATTTTTTTCTGGTTCGTGAAAGCGTACGTATAGAAAATCGCTTCATTTACTGGAAATAATGTGCCAGATATTATTTTACCCACAATATAATAAAATAAACAATAAAACGCTTTTTGATGAAAGATTGCTCCACTCGTTTCGCGGTGTTTGTGTTTGCAGGTATTTATTGGTTAACATAATAAAATCTCAACGAATTTTCCTACTCACCTGATATTGAGATGTTTTCCACTTTTTCAAATTCAAACGCAAGACACCCTTATCATTCTCCTGTGGTCAACAACATACGAGTCTTCGAGTTGAAACTTATCTATAACAAAAAACATTTTTCGATTACTTTCTCCTCCACACTGACAAGGTGCAAACAATACAATCACATTTAACGATATACATTCCCTCTTAATATTCATGGTAATTCCTTCTGAAATCGTTAGTACTAAAATGCTTAAATAAGAAACCATATGACAAACAATTGTGAGTTTACCTTCCAACACCTATTTTATAAATTTTTGTTAGTAAATCGTTCTGCCCTTTTTTAAAACTGACTTTTGCAATAAAAGTTCCTTTTAGGTGCTAGAAACAACACTCGGTTTTTCAATAATAATTCGACAAAACTGACAAATATTAATTCAAAAAACGTTTCTGATGTAGTATACTAAATAGTATTATTTTGGGCTTGCATTACTAAGTTCTGGTATTGCCATGGGTGGACACAATTCCAAGTCAATTAGGGGATTCACAATTATACATCAACATCGTGAAAAAAATTATGTTTTCCTTCAATTACTGTGGTAAGTATCGTTTTGAGTAAATATAACGTTATTCAATAAAATGAAATTAATAAATTTCAATGCATTTTTACCACGATAAGAGTTGTCCTCTACACAAACCTCATTTAATGAATAAGTAATTTATTATTTTAATAAAAATATAGCGATAACTCGAGAGTTTCGTCATAACCGAATCAACCACAACAATAACGTCGTCAATTAACCTTAATTAGTCCAAGTTGAAACATAAACAACGTCTCTTTAGCATAATTTACAGTCCTAGTATTTCTATAGCGTATCTAGCGCACAATGTGCACCCCAGATAATGTTCCTTTTCTCCTCCCCCTCTTCTCTCTTAACTCTCACGTTGTGGCCACGCAAAAACATCGTTATAAACAGCAAAAAAAAAAAAAAAAAAAAAAAAAAACAACAGTAACAACACGACATTTGCATACAGTGGCCAAGCGCGTGCCGTCATTATCCATATTAATGCACACAGCCGCGACTTCCTCCGATTGTTCTTATCATTCGACGCTGCCTCGGTCTCCCCCCTTCGTTTTTTTCTCTTCCCTCTGATTTTTTTAACCCTCCCGTCTCTCCTCTCTTTCATATTATTACTTGATTTTCCCGCTCTCGGGTGATTTCCATATACTCTTGTACACGTACATGCCGAGTGACGAGCGCGTTTCATTAATTATTATTCACCAGCGAAGAGAATACGAAAAAAGGGGAATGCGGCCGATTCGAAATCGAATTTGATAACGGAGTGCTACATTTGCTCGGTACGCTATTACGTGCCGATGTTGGTGTGGATTATCATCCGACGACTATACGATTTTTTTGTTTTCGACTCTCTGAGTTAATCGGGAGATACTGGATTTTTTTTTTTTTTTAATCAACATTGGTTTCATCGGCGAATGAGGGTTGTTCGTAACAATTATTTTTAGAAGCGAGCCAAACACAACTCGGGCACGATTTACTTTATCGGAAGCGCGCGGCCAACGATGCGAAAAACGCGCTGGAGTCGTTCGGCCGTGAATTTGACGTGGGCATTTGTGCGTGTACCATCTGATATGCCCGTGCGACACAGAAATTCGCGTCCCAGATGGGTCCATTGTATCTCGGAGAGCCTAGTTTTAGCGATGAAAATAATATGGAGAGAAAAAAAGCTGCAGGCACACTTTTTAGTACGCACCTGTACCTCGCTGCGAGCAAAATTTATTCGACGTCGAGACAATGGGCACGTGCCACTGTTATGATATTCGTAAAAAAAAAAAAAAAAAATTGTAAGAAGCTGCAGTGCAACGTAATGGAATTTAGTTTTCATTATGGGTAGCTGGCGATCATTATTACTCACATTAGCTGACTTTCAAATTGAAAGAGCGACTGGTGAATGGATTTTTCCTAGAATTTGAAAAAAATATTTCATCAACATTAAAATTTCACCTCATTATTTTCTATGGAAGTTTTTAGAAATGATTTCGTCAACTTCAATGTAAACGACTTAAAATAATTTCATGATTAAACATATACATTCAATGTGAAACAAAAATGGGAAGAAAATCATACAATATCTTATACATCTAAAATTATTTTATGCAACGAAGAATAATAACATTTAATATAAATTTAAATTTGATTTTTTTTAATTTTTAGTTTTTAACATGTAACCATTTCTTATACCTACAAGTACTTTAGAAAATTCGTTTTATTAACACGTGATTTTTTTGCTGTTACGTAATTATAAATTATACACCCTAATGAATGAAAAACATATAGTCAATAGATATTTATTATGTTATATATTTATTTAAAAATATCAGGGGTTGTTGTTGAAGTACCTAAAATCTCTTGGTATGCGAAAAAAAATAGTAATATTCGATACATCATTTGTATACTTGTAGTTATTATAATTGTCATCGACGATTTCAAGTCACGTACGGCGGCCACTCACCGAGAGACCAATAAAAAGTCATTAACGCGAGACTACGAATTATGATTCAGATATCAATAAGTGGGCTTTAACGAACGGCACGTTTCGTTCTTCGCGTCAACAAGCCTAGGGCTCTCGAGATTTTTTGCAAATCAACCCTCAAGAGATTGAACGATTCGTCATCCACATGCTCGAGCAATGAATCCACGCATTACCTTTTTTTTTAATCTAAACATCAAATTATTTTAATTTAATGGCAACTATATTCGTAAGTTACGGCGATTTAAATTATTAACGATAAATTTTACGGAAAAAAATGGAATACCATAATAAGGAATATTATAATGCTATCCAAGAAATAGTGTACAAACAAAGATCAAGTTGCTTTTTATGCAACTGTTTTTCAATTCAATAATAATCATCAATACTTCCCGATAACTAGACAACAGTCGTTAGCATAAATTTTCTCGTCTGTTTTTCACTTTGGACTAAATTTCAAATTCGTCATGTGATTTGGCAACGGTATGATTTGCGCGATGATTAGTAGTTTACCCACGAATGCAAGATTTTCATCGACACGTTACCATTGTTCGACTGCTTTCCCTCGAGCAACACCTGTACAAGTAAAATAATTATAGTTCGATTTAACGAGCGAGAACAAACAAAAAAAGGTACAGAGGTAGTGAAGTGTGTATTGCACTCGCTCGTAATGACACGAGAAAAAAAAAACTCTCAACAAGCGTGTATTTTACGTTCAACCTGAGAGACATCACGATCAATTGTGAACAAATTAATTGAGCGCGACAAAGCTGGACGTTATAGCATGAAATTTGTACGCTGATCAGTTTTAGTAACAAATAATGAGCACCAGGTTCGAGTGGACACTACAATTATACATATTTTCCTCCCTCTCTCTGTCACTGATTGTTCGAAAACGCGTTAATTAAGATCCAAACCGGATAAATCAAATCAAACGTCGACCCAATTATCTTAATTGAATGTACTCCTCGACACGCTCGACTCGACTCGGTGAAAAACGGAACTCGTCAACATTTATCGGCCTTTTGTAATTAAATGCCTGGATAATGTTGAAAAAAAGATTTAAAAAAAAGGGAAACTATTATTCAAAGCAGAAGCAGATGGACATGTGAAGCAACGTGATCGACGCTCCCAAAACAACTGGACTCTAAGTAGTGCTGTAAATGAAAGTTATGCTTTTTTTTCTTTCTTATCTTACAATGACTTAAAATACTATAATTTTTAATTAGTCTGCAGTACCTGACAAAAATTCTTTGATGATTACAATTTAATTGTTGATGATATGGTGAAAATTATATAGCTGGGGAAAAAACTGCAAATGTTGGTTAAAAAAAAAAAAAAAACAAAAAAAAAAATCGGATTTAAATTTGGTTTTGGGTTGAAGAAACAGCCAAAATATAATTTGAATGATAAAACCGATTATTCAAAATAGGTTGGAGAAATAATTTATTCAGATTAAGATTTAAAAAAAAGTTCATTCATACTTGGATCGAAAAAACAGCTAATGGAGTATTGATTTATACATTTATTCTCCATTGCACCACATCGATAAAAACACTATGTTTATAATAGCAAAATAATTGATTCATAAAACATAATCAAGAGCTTGCGTTATTTTTAGCTGTGTAAAACCTAATATGTATCCTTAGGAATAACAAATCCTTCAATAAACCTCGAATCATGGTATAATATGTGTAACAACTACACACGAAAGGTAGAAAAATACGTTGGTTCGTTAAGTCCGTGAAAAAATGTTTTCATAAAGAAAATAAAATAAGAACACGAAAAAAAGTATTCGTGACCAAAGCCTCAACAAAGGCGAATGGGCAGTCAATAAAACAGCAAAGGTATCTTAAATCCAATCTTGTCGGGCGATAGTTTGAGAGAAAGAGAGAGTCACCTCGATTGCACGCAATAGCGGTACTTATCATGCCACCGCTGCTGACGCGAGTAATATGCTGCCTCTCCGGATTTGCAGTTGATTCGGGCTTATTAAATGCATCGAGGTATAGCGCAATGTACACAACACCGACCATAACGCTTCAATGTTTGTTTGTCCATGTGCAGGTGCATGGGTATGTTTGCAACGATTTTATGTGCACAAATGTGTACCTTGCATTTGCTGGCTTATTATAGTGCTCAAACTAGCGCGTACGTAAAAAAAAATATATGGTACAAAAATACCCGCCGTTTAATTTGGTAATCAAAATTATCGAATATAACGACCTTTTTATTTTTTTTGAATAAGCGAAGACAAGAGAATTTTCTACTTTGAGTGTTACGATACTTGGAGTTTTGACAATTTGATGGTCTGCTCGTTTATATTTTTGGATCTTCGATTAAGTTTACAATAATTAAGTTGTTTTTGTAAATTTTGCTTTTTCTGTATGGTCTTATGACCATATAGAAAATATGCGTTTTTGTTTAGAGCTGCAAAAGTAGTGTGTATCGCAATTAAAGGCATTTTCTGGATGTTGGGAGGATTTTTTTAATTAAAATTATTGTATTTTTATATTGTAAAATTAATAAAGTTTCATTACTTATCGTGATTTAAAGCAGACGTCTTTTAATTATTAAGGAGGTTCCGGCATAAATAAAAAATTTTAGATAACGCTAAAAGAAAATTACGTTCTCAGGGTGGCCACTTGTCAGGGAAAACTGGAGAGTCAGGGAAAGTCAGGAAATTGTCGAAAGACTAAGAAAAGTCATGAAAAGACAGGCAGTTTGCTTTGTTTTCTAAAAAGTCAGTGAAATCTCATTGTTACTGTAAGTTTGGAAAAAAAAGAAATAAATTTGTAAAATTATTTGTTAAAACAATTGAATTGGAAGCATACGATACAATTTTTATTTCGTACTTATTTTTCAAATTA